ACAAACAATTTATGTTTGTCTAATTTACATGGGCCTTGCTAAGGTTTTTTTTTTCGCCACAGCAGCTCTGTGACTTTACAATCATAGCGGCTTGGCGAGGAATAGTTCTTTCGGAGCACTGTCAACATAAAACCTTAGTTTCTACGTATACTCAAAATAAAACAAAGAAATAATTCATGTAATCTTAAAGGTATAATCTTACAAGGGCCTTGTTAAGGGCTATTCTTCGCCGCAGCATCTATGTGACAATATAGCCATAGTGTTGCGACGAAGAATAGCCCTTTCTTGGTTCTGTCAACATAATACCATTGGTAGCAGGACATTTCGGCCCATGGACGTTTCGGCCACGGACGTTTCAGGACATTTCGGCCACATGCGGTGGACGTTTCGGCCACATTCCACATGCCGGGGACGTTTCGGTCGCGGCCTCGTTATTTATTGACAATACTTAGTTGTCGAATGAAACAAACAAAGAAACAAACAAACAAACAATTTATCTTACCCAGGCCTTGCTAAGGATTTTTCTTCGTCACGGCGACTGTGTGACTTTTTAACCATAGTTGCCGGGCGTGGAAAAGTTCTTTCATGGTTCTCAGTCGTCATAAAACAAATGTATAATAATAAGTTGCACAAAAACACACTGCAGCTTAAAATAAACAACAGGTTTATTTGTTTTTGTGCCCTACTAATTACCTCCGGGGAAGGAGATATCCTTCCGCGAGGAGGTTTTACTATGGTTCGAAACATTTCTGTCAGCAGCTGTTTCTCGCGATCGGCTGGACGGATTTGTCTGTGGTTCGGTATACGTATTGCTATTGGGCTGCAGATGATGCAGAACGTTTTTGTTTAATTGCATATGTGTTTATGGGCGTCGAAATAAAAGGTTTTTAAGTGCTCCGGACACCCCCGCCATGCTGAAAATGGTAATTACCATGTTGTTAAGGAATGGGGCGGTTGCAGTTTTGGGTCTTAGCATTCAAAAGGGGTCAAACAGAGGGGTGTCTGGTTCCGATAAAAATTTTGGGTGACGGCGCAGCAATGACGGCGGGGGTAATGGCGCGGGTGACGGTGCAGGCTGTCAGA